CTGTTTGGCAAATGATCTCCAAAAATTCTGTATGTTTGAATTCGACTAAAACGAAAACATATTTCAAACCTTAAATTTTCAATAGCAGCGATAGATTATTTAATAAAAACATTAGAAATGACTCAATTATTGTTAAGTAGTGTCAGAATGCTGCTTAATATCATATTTTGATGCTGGGAAATTCTGGTGTACTTTCGTTCTTGCGATCTTGAAAACTAGCCTGTTTTCTCACCACCTGTATAAGTGCAACTTCATTCAGAATTTGGACTTTTAGCGCTTTCTTGTATATCTCCGAAACGACTCGAACGAATTTTTTGAAAATCTCTTCACATAATCTTCGTAATGTATATAAAAATGTCTGAAACTTTCATTAAGATTGATTCACTGAAACACCTTAAAATTTAAAGACAAACCTATCCTACGAACCGGTCAAAAATCTGTGTTACAACATTCACTGTTTTGACATTATGCTAATTTTTCCAAAAATAATGCGCACTATACATACCTCCATGACTAGTACATTTTAGTTTGAATTTATCGCATCTTTTGAATGTAAAACATTGACAATACTCACACTGAAATGCACTAATCATGGATTTATGTATTTTCTGCATTAATTTGGAAAAATTAACCTTAAATTAGGCCAGGTATGGTCACTGAAAATCTGATAAAACTGTACCTCAATCTTATTTTAAACAAGCTGCACCAGTTTATATATTACACTATTGTATCTGGTTCACTTAAGAGCTGGATTACAAAGCAAAATGTACAGCACTTACAGTAATGAATAATTATACAGCTACAAGCTCAAAATCCAGTGGCTGTTGAAGTCTTGACATGTCATATGCTGGACAGATCTAACCTGAAATGAAAAATCGGTCATCTTCATCAGTTAAATCAATAATCTTGATTCATGTCATGGAGGCCATTAAAATTTATTAAATAAATTAACTAAATTTGTAGTGGGAAGACAAGTTTTTTTTTTTACCGATCCACAATAATTTCAATGGCAAATATATGTATTTACATGACACTGATTTTATGAACCCTAAAATCACATTTATTCATTTATTTATTTCCCAAATGTATTGTCCATGCCTCTTGTACTGTAGATCATGTCAATGTCTTACAGTGAAGATTGCACTGTTTAAAATAATTCTATTAGGGAATGTTTTGAAGAAATAGATGTTTACTATAAATAAATGAGTTGCAAACAATAAAAAACTGTTCTAGAACTTTTAGCTGTCTTGCACGAAAAGATCACAGAACACATTTAGAGTGGATCTGATTTCGATAAATAAATGTATATTTAAACAATTGAGCAAAAATGTGTAATATTCTTCATTTGAGTCTGAAAATTTTATTGAATCTCTGTCTTAACCTCAGTAGTAAACAAAAAACAGTTTGCCAAACATTGAGATCAAGAAGAAGTCAAGTCACTCAAATATCTTTTTCCCTCACTTATGTATCTCTCGTTTTACAGATATGTTGTAGTTAATTTTTTATCTCAGGCAATTTTTCTTTTTCTTCTGTTTTCAGGTATGGTAGTGTATGCTAATGAAGTTGAAACATTTTAAGAAAAATAAAAAAAAAATAACCTGAGACAAAAAATTAACTACAGATCTATACATTAGTTTGAAACAGTTCTGTATTTTGTGTTAAATTAGCTGGCAGGTATGGCCACAAAAGGGCTGATGAAACTGTACCCAAATCTTACTTTGAACAAGCTGTACCAGCAGTTCAGTGTATCTGGTTTACTCAAGAGCTGGAATATGGTACAAAGCAATTTGTTATATTCCTAGACTTTCACTCAACTAAACAGGCACTGCCATTGGTTGATTCTTGGTCATGACTAGAATCATTCAGAAATGTACCCCGCTCAGGCTACGTTACAGCTAGCACGTGATCAAAGCATGGTGGAAAGTGGTGTGAAAGAAGGCGGGAAAAACACCGCCAGTTTTCTTTTTCGCGAATGAACACAACAACACAAACACGAAGCCTCAAGCTGAAAAGCAATGATTTTTAAGTCATCCCAGAAGAGAATCAGCAGCTAGTGGAGGAAAAAGATGCAGATCAAGGAAAGTACTTTGTAAATCATTCATTCAGTGGTTTTAAGAATTAAATTTGTGTTGTTACAAGTACTGAGAAGACTGTTTTGGTTCGCTCTGGTTATTCTTTTGTTGCTATTGAAGTGAAAGTCTAGACATATAACAAAACGCTTAACGTAAGGTCCCTCAGGAAACCAGTTAGTTTTGTTTTCCTGAGAGTCCTGATGCTTCCCTTGACTTTGTCTCGGGAAACATCAGGACTCGAGGAAAACAAAACTAACTGTTTCCCTCAGAATCTGACATTAAGTGTATAATATTATACAGCACTTACTAAAGATAAGCTCAAAATCCTGGCTGTTAAAGTCTTTACATAACTGCGGGATACAACTGATCTGAAAATAAAAAATCAATCATCTTCATCAGTGATCAAACACCCCCAAATATTTAACAAAGACATTTTGGATATAACTTTATGATCAATATTCTAAAAAAAAATCCCAGCAGGGTATGTATCAAAAGACAACAATATTACTCTTTATTATGTAACATAACTCCAGATATACCATGCATTAACGGTGTCATGAAACCAAAGACCCCCTTAGACCCAGCCTTAGACCCTTAAACTACGGTACTATAAATATGTGTCTTGCATAACCTCATAAAGCTTCAGGCAAAAAGAAGTATGAATTAAAGAAACAAAGATTTTTTGGGAGTATTACATGACATGAAACTTCCCCCTTTCAATGCTCACTGCTGGAAATGACACATTGTTAGCTTGAGCCTCTTATCAAAAAGTAAAATAAGAGAATTATACATCTCTAATTTTTATTTGTTCAAAGGAATACATTGATTGATGAAACCAGCACCAACCCCCTACCCCACCCCCTTGGGTACCCAGAGAACACAAGGCACCCCCCCTTTAATGGACATTTCAATCCTTCTTTCCAATAATATTTTTGGAATCATTATTAGAGCTTTACTAGACATAAATTTCTCTTTATTTTTTGCGAGGGGGGTTAAGACACCGCTGGGAATACATGTACTTATGTGAAAAGTAAAATGTAGAGGTGAGAAGGGTATACTGTAATTCCAACTCCCCCCCAACAATAATAAATATAAAAATAAAAATGCGGTCATCAAAAAGGGAAGAGGCTCAATGATGCAGCTCTCCGTTTTTGTTCAACTTCATCCTCCAAAATCCAACCCCAATCAAAGGCCTGGCTAGGCTGTGTATAAAAGTGGGACGGGGACAAGGGGACGGGGACATCGGGACGCATGTGTGGGGACTTGGGACTTGGGGACGCGAGACGAGGGACTTGGGGACGTCAAGTATGGGACGCGGGGACGTCAAAAACTAGGACGCAGGGAACCCGGGATGTTAATGATTATTGCAAAAGTCGGAGGTAAATGCGATATCTCTTTCTTCGTGAAAATGTGTTATTTATGGTCAACATTAGATTCCATCTTCCAAAACCACATTGGACACCTTATGATGTTTACACAAAATATTTCTTTATAATAGAAGTATTAAAAGCCCACTGACTATCGTGATCAGGTTTAGGGTTGATTTCCACTGTCGCGTAATTTTTCCATGCCTACCTGCGTAAAATTTACGTTCGCACATAAAATAGAGGCAATGTCTGAAAGGCCGCACGTAAGCGTAAAAGTAGAATCTCGCTCAACTTCACGTTTAATCTCGACAATTTATATCTTGCCTATCTTATTTACGTGATTAAAATTTACTTGCGTTAAAGTGCATAGCCAAAAACGCGTCGGTGGAAATCATCCTTTAAGTACTGTTAGCAAGCATTTACTGTTAGGTTTGCCACTAAAAATGTAGAACAAAATAAATATTGCTGCAATAGTTGAATCCCTCGTGGTTTAGTGGTACAGGCGATGGATTTCGGAGTTAGAACTTCGGGATTCGCAGCTCGCTAATGCCACTTAATTTTTATTTATTTGGAATCGAATGCTGTTATTCTACATAATTTTTGGCGACCGCAACCCACCCTACCCTACTGGCTCCAAGATTCCATCAGCAAGAAGACTAGGACAACGGTTTCACTTTCTTCAATGCAGGGGGTCTTCGCCGAGTCTTCTCTTCGTAAACAGGCATGGAGAAACCCTAAGGAGGGCAGGGTGGGTTTCCTTTCACCAAAACATATTCACGAGGAAAGTGACTGATATCGCATTTACCTGCGACTTTTGCAATAATCATTCACATCCCGCCTCCCCTGCATCCCTGTATTTGACGTCCCCACGTCCCCGTCCCACACGTCCCCGCGTCCCATAGTTGATGTCCTCAAGTCCCTCGTCTCGCGTCCCCACGTCCCAAGTCCCCACACACGCGTCCCGATGTCCCTGTCCCCTTGTCCCCATCCCACTTTTATACACAGCCGCCTGGCTACTAAGCATACAATATTTAGCTTCATCATTACTGCACTTTTAATAAGACTTTAATAAAAGCCAAATTGCAAATAAACCCTCCATACGCCGCAAGAAAACACTCCAATTTGCCCTTGAAAAAATCAAAGCGTTGAAAACTTTCCGAAGAGGGAGATTGAACCATTGATGTCACAGAGTCCTGTCACGGAGTATGAGCTAGAGCTGAGTGGGTGATCTGAGTGGCAAGATCTTACCAAATGCATAGCAAACTATTATCACAAGCACATCTAAAACTGTTTTAAAAGATAAATAATACATTTTTCACTGTCTAATCTACCTACCATCGCTACTAACCTCGCAATGTAAAGGATAAACGGGAGAAAAACAACCATGCCTTCCGCCGCCCGCCATCTTTAAATGAATGTTAGTTCCCAGTGCTCCAAACCTCGCAAATTCACCGACATATTTAAAAAATCGTCTGACGTCAGAGGGTTACTTCCCAGTCCATTCTCGACCACGGAAAAGTCGCCTGCTGGTTCCTGCTGCCTACATGTTTTTTTGAGCAGCATGTCTTTACTGTCAGCCGACGTTATTCTACGTGCAGCTGATCGAATAAAGCCTTTCGTCAGAAGAACCCCTTTAGAAATTTCTTACTGGCTTAGTGAAGCAGGAAACGCAAGGGTATATGTAAAACTAGGTGAGTGTCACGATTTGATCAGCAAAGCATTTGGCTGCGACCACCGGAGGCTGGGGGAGTTCCGAAGTTCGTTAGTGAGAGAATTCAGGGAATGTAAATACATTGTAAATAAATTAGTTAATTAATGATCATTCAAGTATCCTTTTCTTTTCTCGAATTTATTCTGGTATATTTTCTGTATTTTGCTGTATAAATATCTCGAAAATATGTCAGTTAAAGGCTAGTAGCAGTGTAGCTCAATTTTTCCGCCAGTCATGAGAACTGGGATGTCGAAGGCTATAATTATGTGAACTCGTATGGCATGAGATCAGGGCTGTCAATCCCCCATGTCTTCAAATATTGGGATAGATGACGTCATAATGCACAGTGTATGACGTCATTTTTTTTTTTTAAAAGCATGAAAAAGATGTTGTTAGAATTGTAACATTTGACCTAATTGGTTTACTTCCCACCAATCACATTATTCCTTATATTACGATGGAATATGGAAGTTTGTGAGGAAACGGTCAGTGTCAACTGAAAAATAGCTCAAAGAACGCAAAATATTTGAAATTTCATTGCCAGAAAGTCGAATATACAAGAAATGGCAAACTTCGGCAATTATCCGGGAGATTTCAGACTCTAATTTGGAGACCGGGAGAAACGGTTCAAAATCTGGAGTCTCCTGGATTATCTGGGAGAATTGACAGCCCTGTAAGATCAAAGTTTAGATTTGCGGGTATGAGGCTAGTTGGCAGGTATATTAGCCTCAAAGCTATAATAAGCAGCATCAAGAGTTTGTTTTATAAGAATGTGAAAGTGTTTTTGTTGAATTAAAACACCTATAATATCAAATCAAAATTTAGATTAAAATTATTAGCATCACCTATTATAGTCTAAGCAACACTGATTCTTTAATATTAATATAATAAGGACCAGGAGTTAAAAAACATTTCCAAATTTTTTAGATTTTTTTCACTTATTTTACAGAGAGTGAGCAAACAACAGGTTCCTTCAAACTCAGAGGAGCTTTTAACAAACTTCTCAGTCTCAAAGAATCAAATGACAATTCATTTCTAAGCAAAGGAGTCATAACAGCCTCCACTGGAAATCATGGAGCAGCCACTGTAAGTTTACCCTGGGTTTCAGTGGATATTTTTTTCTTATTGATACTGAAAGTTTGCGGCAAAGCTGTGTTGTTCTCATATTGTTGTTGATGATGCTGTTGACATTTTGATTTAAAATAACTTTGACACCTGTTGCTTGGTAACCAGCGGCCAAAAGAATGTCAAGTGAAACCCCAAAGAGGAAATTGTTCTTCTTTACCTGACATGCCAATACCTTCTGAATTGCTGCTAAAATTAATCTTCCTTGACTGATTAATTTCAGATTAGGTGGAACCCGGCCTGCAAAAAGGCTGGTTGCTACCATTTTGTGTTTGTCTGAACACACCAAAATTTAAATGGCAAAACTAACATCCGTTTTTTCAAATTAACAGCTCTTCTCAAATATCAGTGATAATCACTGAAGAAAAAAAATCTGGATGGTGTTTGAAGCTTAAGGAAAGTGTTTTTTTCTGTCTTCTGTTGCAGGCATATGCTGCTAATAAAGTTGGTGTTCCTGTTACAATATACGTTCCCCAGACCACCTCTCCTGCCAAGATTAAGGCTGTGAAACAGCTTGGTGGGTCTGTGAGCTTTCATGGAGAGGACTGCGTTGAAGCCGAAGTGAAAGCAAGGTCTGTCTCTAAGGTAAAAGTCTATTGGCTTGTTTTTTATGAAATAAAGAAATGATTTTTTGCAAGAAATAACCTGTCTAGACCATACTGACATACCAATGGTGACCATAATTAATTTCTTACAATTCAGGTATTCTTGCCATGACCAGTTTGGTCACCATGGCTAATGGAAAAATATTTTGGTGTCTAAAATTGTGGCACTAGTTTAATTTGGCATCCTTTGTGTTTTTAGTCATGTTTATGGCATTTCCAAAGCTTGCATGTACAGTGGAACCTCAATATAACAAATGTCTATATAACAAAGTCCTTGGTGTAACAAACAATTTTCTTTACCCCAGTAATAGTAAAATATATGAAAAAGAACTGATATAACAAAACCTCATTATAGTGGACAAATTTTGCCAGTCCCTTGACTGGCAAAATTTTGTTATTTTGTTATTTTGTTATATCGAGGTTGTACTTTTTTTTCTTTTAAATACTATACACTGTAGTTTTCTCTTTAATAAGACCTTGTATTGAGATGTTATGACGTGCACAGCCGTTTTTTTATTATTTTAATCCTGCCTGTGGCATTGCACAAATTGTCCTTTTCTGTCTGTCGACTGATGTTGTCTTAATTGGTGATCATTTGATAATTGTGAGTTGCAAAAGGTGAAAAGTTGAATTTGGAGCTATTTGTCTCTAACCTCTACATACCAAACTGCAATGGTAGGATCCTGCAGATCCTTCACATATGCTTATACAAGCCTTCACATGAGACAATAAAAATTATACCATTTCAAAATTCATGACTGTGTTTCCTTTTCTTGTGTCAGGAAAGAAATATACATTATATGTCGCCTTATAATGACCTAGTTGTTGTTTCTGGACAAGGAACCATTGGGTAAATATAAACCTTTAATGTAAATGTAACGCAAAAATAAAACTTTTAGGATCATGCAGTAAGCCATTTAAGAGTATGTTTCCAAACCCCTCAACTTCAAAGCAAGGCCAAGTGTTAAACCTTTTGCTTGTCAATGAGGTTCATTTGCCTGTCAGCTAAAAAATATCATATCAAAGACTTCCTACTTACCTTAGCCTCCCATGCAGACATTCTTAGGGGTTCGCCGTGGGGCAGAAATATGTGACGAACCCCTAAGAACATCTGCGTGGGAGGCTATACTTACTGCTACCCTCACTTTCAGAAAAAAGGCTTGGAGCAACTTGGAAATGACCTGTTGCAATTTTGTAAGTACTCCTGATTGGTTGAGAGAGTGGTGTGAAATCTTTTAGCCATTCACTTGGGGTACAGCTGTAGTACTGTGACAATGTTTCTCCCAGGGTCATGGAGCGAACAGGGGTAGGGAAGAAGAGAGAGAAAGAAAGGTTAAAGGCTTATTGTTTATAGCGGAAAGTGTAGTTTAAGCTTAAGGATGGTTTTCACTAGCGATGGAGTCAGAGTTGGAGTTGCAATCAGAAGTGTAGAGCGTTCTGATTCTTCTGATTCCGTTTACGACTTTGTTGTTTACGATCAAGTGAAAACTGGGTCGTCAGAGTCGCAAGGAGAAGTGTAAGAACTAAACCAATTACAAAGTGTGGGAACATGCATTGTGATTGGTTTATCCTTCTGGTTTTGCTTCTGACTCCGACTATCTGGTTTTCACCAGATCATAAGCAGAATGTAAGCAATGGAGTCGGAAGCGGAGTCAGTTAAAAATGGAAACGTTCTTACGACTCTGAGTTTTGATTTTCACTACGTTATGAGGGCTCTTACAACTCCACTTACGATTCCGACTCAGAGTCCATCACTAGTGAAAACCAGCGGCCTTATCCATGGCCAGCTAGTTTACAAGCACACCTTAAATGATTGGAAATAAGTAATTCAAATATAACATAAAAGGAAACAGGATTAAAAACCCCAACTAGCAGAAGGCAACCAGTTGGCTACTTATAAGAATGGCCAAGGATTTCAAGGAACTTGGGACAACACCGAACAAATCCTGCTAGTGGCCAGAGCGGGGAGTTGAACCCAGGACCCCCAGGGGCCCCACTCACATATTTTAATGACGGGGGGGTCCGACACAGGTTGATATTTTATACCCCAAAAAATCCCAACTTCAGAATTTGTCTACCCAAAAAAATCCGTACTTTTTTTAGCATACCCCAAAAAATCCCTCAGTGTTTTTGCATCAGGCAAATTTTATTACTTATCTTCTGGAAAGCTAAAATATGCCAACTTCAACTTTGGTTTTGGTCAAAAACAAAACTATAAATTGTGCTTATGTTATTTTTGATTTGAGCTGATGAAAAATACAATACCCCAAAAAATCCCTCTGTTGTTTTCGCGACCCAAAAAAATCGCGGCGTCTTTCATAGACCAAAAAAAATGCCTTTTGGCCAAAATATCAGACCCAAAAAAATCCCCCCCCCCCCCGTCATTAAAATATGTGAGTGGGGCCCCTGGGCCAGGACCACTAGATTGCGAGTCTAACGTGCTAACCACTCAGCCTCACTGGTTACAAGGCTGGCACTGCAAAACTAGAGCCAAATCATTTTCTCAAAACCTCTCTACTTATTCATTGCAGAGTGGAGATTTTGCAAGATTTGCCAGATGTTGATGCAGTTTTTGTTGCTGTTGGTGGAGGGGGGCTGATAGGAGGTATAGCTACTTATCTGAAGGCTGTTAAACCCACAGTTAAGGTAAGCAGGAGACCAAAAACTATGCAAGATGTCTTTGCGTGGCTTTGCAACTTTGGACAAAATTCTAGAGACTTGTTCCATCTATTTTCTAATTTAGTACCATACCACCATCGCCTAGCAGAACAAAGCAAGCGCCCTAGCTGCTGACCCCCTATTCAATGTTGTTTTTGTCTTAAAAGTAATGTGTATAATTCTGCTGTTACCCTAGACAACAGTCAGAACAAAAAGGGTAGGGGAGGAAAACGATAACCGGCCATCTCGCCACCAACGTAGTCGCTACCGAAAAGTCGACTCACCACCAGCCAACTGGCCACGAAATGGTTTGGTGGCGAGATGACCGTAAACCAGGAAAACGGTCATTTCATTTGACGACAGTTTGCATTTCTGTCATTTTCACAGTAAAAATATGTATTTTTCTAATGTGCCTCAACAAGTGTGGCCAAGGTTGTAGCTTTGTAAGCCAAATCAACACAGTTGAATAGCCCACAAATAAGAACTCATGTGCACGTTCTAGTACTTGGCTGTTGACATTAAGGTGATGTTACACGAAACGATTCGCAACGACGATTTTTAGCGCAACACAGCGTTGCAACATTGTTGCGATATTGTTTTGAATGATTGCAACGTTGTTCCAACATTGCATCGTTATGTTGCCTATCATCCCGTGTAACATGACCTTTAAGGGAAGCGACAGCGGTTGATTGTACTTTTGATTGCTTGAAAAAGTGTCACGTGCGATATTTTTTATCACATCAGCTAAAAACAAAGCAATCATCTCGATTCTCTTCTAAAATAATAATAATAATAATGGTGATGATATTAAAAATATAAAGTAATAATAACAACAAAAACAACAGTGAATAACAATAGTATTTTAGTAGGGCGCCCACTTCACCAATACATGTAGGTGCTATTGATTTTAGTGCGGCCCTCAAAACAACTTTCATTAACTCAAAAAGATATTATTTTCTTTTGCTTATATTTCAACGTAGATTATTGGCTGTCAGCCGTCGCAGTCTGCTGTGATGTCAGCATCCGTGAAGGCGGGAAAAATTTTGGATCTGCCATCGGGTGACACGCTTTCAGACGGTACGGCTGGTGGAGTGGAGGAAGACTCGGTATGAGTAATGATGATGACCCCATTGCAGTGGAGATCCGTTAATACAACCACCGTTGGTCTATGTAAATTTGTTTAGTATAACAAAACAAAACGTCAGCGTAATCTATTGACTAACTTTAGAGAGCTCACGTAACTGCGACGGCGACGGCAGCAAAAATGTCACGTAAAACGTGAACTCGCGCTGTTTTCAATGTTATGGCGATTATAAATTGCAGTTAATTTTTAATCGTTTGTAAAATGCATGCGAATTTTTCTGCAATTTAAAACTCACGGACCGTACCCGTCATGTGAAAAATTAAAATCGGGCGCATGTACTACACCCGGAACACCGGAACATCCCAGGAAACCTAGAATTTGTCAGATCAGGGTTACGGTTTCTATTTTTCATTTTACATATACACTACTGCCAGGTTTTTGGGTGACCGCGTATTCCTGAGTGTTCCGGAGTGTTCTGGGGTGTTCATGTGTTTTGATGCTCCGGGTTTTAGAACTTTCGAAAATCGAGACCGTAGACTGGACTACAACGACGAAGAATACACACCTACACACAAGAACTTGACCAACTTATCCTACCATCGTCGGGCCTCAGGCTTGTTCAGTCACGCATAGTTACCGTAGCTTTTGTTTCATGCTGTCAGGTGACGTTTGATCTTTGCAAATCTCTCGTTGATGAGTGGATTCTGGTAACAGAGGAGGAAATTAGCAAAGCTGTGTACCTGTTCATGGAAAATCACCATAAGGTACGTAAGTTATCTAACAACACTTTGAGACACTTTGCCCTAAAGAGCCTCTTTTAGGTTTTGCCAACTTTAAGAGGGGAAAATAAAACTTTTCCTCTCCCACCCCCTCCATGCAATGTTGTGCCGCTGTTCGAGCTTCCTCTGGAAAACAACAAACACCCAACTTTGAAGTAAGGGTAAGGGGGAGGGGTGAGGATTGTTTTTGTTCTCCAAAGTTACCCCATTTGAGGATAATGTTTCAGCTATTTTGTCGCCGATTGAAGCTATAAGGACTGTTACTAAAGACACACTAATAGTTGAGGTATTCTATACGAGTAATTCTAAATAAAACTAAACCATTATTCGGAGGTTTATTTGATTCCAGCGTGGTTTTAGGGTTTTTAAAGTAATTCCAAAAACTCATGACACAGCCCCCTCAATCCTTAATAGTAATTTCCTCTCCCCCTGCTGGCATTTTTCTGTTTCTGGTTTTCTTTTCATCCCACTATATTCCCCACTAGAAAGTCTACTCATAGTTTATAGACTGGATGACCCAAATGGTTAGGTTTTCTGCTTGGTTAATGTCTATTCTTCTGTAACCTTTTATCAGATTGTCGAAGGAGCGGCAGGCGTTGCCTTAGCAGCATTTTTAAAGGAACACGAAAAATTCAGAGGACAAAACGTGGTGATAATTTCTTGCGGAGCAAACATAAGTATGGACAAATTAAAGGATGTAATTTTACAGTGGGCATAAGTTGATTAAAATCATTAGTTAGGTCTTCTTTCAAATTCAAAATTTCTACAGCGGCTACTTTTTTGGATTTCCTAAAGAAAACTGGACTAATTTCGTCACGTGTAAACGGATAAAAACTAATGGGACTAGTTCTATGACTTCGCACATGAACGATTGTAAACGGGTTTTTCATACTAACAATCCTTGTATGAACTTCTTCCATATATCTGGTTTTAAAGAACGCGCGCGTGACGTGGAGTACGAGCTTTTTATAATACGATGCGCTCGTTTGGACCACTCATAGCCTGCGAGCAACCTCTTCGTTTGAAATATATCATGAGAAGTCACACACGAGTAACACGCGACGTTGCCACACGCTCGCGCGTTGTAAGCGGTTTGTTTAGCTCACCACTCGGTCCTTCTTTGAACATTAATCGGTTAGGAGTTAAATGACTGTTTTTGATAACACCACTACGATCCCTCGCAAAAAAAAAGTGTTGATCAGATGAAAGCCGTAATCGCTGGCCTCTGTTTTCAGTAAACATTATATTTTAACATTATCATATATATATATGCCATTTCATTTCATTTTAATTACATCATGTTTTATATTACAATTTCAATAAAGAAACCAGCTTACTTTTTAGTTCTGTTGTCCTGTGTCTTTGATTTCTTCTTTGTATATCCTTAGTCTTCTCTGATTCTATGCTTTGTTCAAAAACCCGGTGGTATGTTGGTAGGGCAATAACTTGCTCGTCTGTTCGCCCACTCGAGAGAGACAACAAGTAGCCTGTGGAGAAGTTTTGTAAGTGCGTGGCTGCTTTCCCCCCGTGCACGCCTGCGGTGGAGGAACTGTCGGAAGAATCAGGTGGTATTCGTGCAAAAATACATACAGGTGTAAATTGGAATTAGGGACCTTCTGTACGAATAACCACTCTATCGTCTCGCAATTCTCAAAGGAGACTTGAGCACAAAGAAAACCAAGCCAAATTAAAAAAAAAAATGACCAGGAAGCCTCGGAGCCCCTCGGAGTCATGTTAGAATTTTACTATATCGAACGTGGGTTATTGGCGAACTGCGAAGGTTAAGTTCACATTTGGTGCCCGGGACCCTAGCCCTAACCCCGTTTCTGGGAAACTGACCACCTACCCCTCCCCTAAGCCATGAGAAGTAAGTGTTAATGTTGGCTTTGGGGAGCGGTAGTTGGGCCATCTTTTCAAGTACCCTTTTCCCCACTCGGGCCCGGTACTTGCTCGAAAATAGGAAAGAATGCAGATTGTGCGCTTTTTTCGTCTGATGTATTCCTGCGAGCAGGCAGTTTTCAGCCCTTTCTCTAAAGAGTACAGTGATCCCGATTTTTTATTTCTTTAGCCATTTCATTTCAGTGATAAGGCCAGTTAAGTAAGTTTTACCACGATTTTACGAGCAGAAGATGGTTTGGAAAATTCGCCTTATAAGTGCGTGTAGCTACATATAAATATAAAGTAGACGCTACAATGGTTTTTGTGCTTAATGTTTGGATTTTTTTTAAAAACTGCACCTTTTATATTCCTGAAATTCCGACCAGACTGGATGAATCCTTTCCACCTGCTGTCTACTAGGGCCTCGCTTTGGATTCAGTTTTTTGATAGGATTGTTTGACCAAACCATTCTTCCGTAGCTTTGTGGCAGACGCTAGCTTACCGCGCAGACGTTCTTTCCCACTAGGGTTTTGACAAGTCAAAAGAACGTCTGCATGGGAGGCTGTGCAGACGCAAAAAATGGCAAGAGGGGGTGGGAAGTGAAGTGCGAAGGAAAAATCACTTTCCGATGGCCATCACCGTGATGCTCCACTTCCGGGTAGATATGTTGTGGTTCAATTTCATCCTTGGTTTAAATTTTATTTCCATTTGTTTTGGGGAATGGTAATTTATGATAATGAGTTTAAAATAAAAGGAAATAAAATTTAAACTAAGGATACAACTGAACCACAACAGATACTTCACCAAAAAGCCTGAGGACTCTGTGGAACATTTTAAAAAGGATAGGCAGCCTGGGGATGAGGTACGTGACGGGGTTACGTTACTGATGTACATGAAGCGTTCGTGAAGCGTGACCATATGCGCCAACAGAGCATTTATTATGGAGTCGTGGTCCCCAATATTTATCCTCACCGTTCCTATTACTGTGGTGGTCATTGGAACGACCATAAGTAGAATCATAAAGCTGATAATATCCTCTAGTTGGTACAAAAGGAAATACGCCGAAAGACAACAGCGTTGGACTGAATTAACCGCCCTGGTCTTCGAGCCCTTGAAGCGAAAACTCTTCGCAGATCTCGATGAAAATCTTAAAAGACTCAACGGCGACGTTTTAGAAATTGGCATCGGTTCAGGGCAAAACTTACATCATTATCCTACAGGAACAGCGCTAATAGCCGTTGATCCTAATCCACATGTGGAAAAACTTCTAAAGGAGAACTTGAGGAAAGCAGGTGACAGGATAAAATTGAAGAGATTTGTCGCTGTTTCAGCGGAGGACATGAGTTACAAGGAGCAGATCGGTGTAGAGGACAATTCTGTTGCTGCTGTGGTTTGTACGAAGCTTTTCTGTTCCCTGACTGATGACCAAGCAAAGAAAGTTGTCCAAGAAGTAAAGAGAGTTTTGATTCCTGTAAGCAGTTTATGTACATCTTTGCATTAGCTATTACGCGTACGACTAGGCGACTACTGCCAGTTTTTGTCGCTCAGCTTTTTTTAAAGATTTATTGTTTTCTTTGTTTTTTATTCGTGACAAAAATCCAAACCGAAGGAAAATAAGTTTCAATATTTTCAACCTCAGTGTTAGAACGCTGGGGATTATGTTAGATGGGGTCGGGTCGGGGCGAGGGGGGGGGAGTGACAGGTAGGGGTGATCCCTCAAACGTAAAACCCAAACTTTGTGCCCCCTCTTTTTTTCTTCTGGAGGAGTTTGAAGTGTTTTTTTGTGTGTAAGAATTATTTATGTATTTTAATATTTATTATATTTATTATTTCTTTGATTTTCTCATCTTCTACAGGGTGGACGATTTTATTTTATGGAGCATGTGGCAGGTTGGTATCAGGCTCAGCTCAGAACCCTATTTTCTCAAAATAATCTTAAGGCCGATCGTTTCACTACAAAAGGTTGCTTCGCGCAGTCATATTTGTCCGTTTCGTTTTCAATTTTTTTATTTGTGGAATATTTCAACCCAAATTGACACTGTGATAAAAAATATGAAAAGCTGCAAATACACCACGGTGGGGCCAGGCGTTCACTTTAAAACCCCACAGTGGGGCTTAAAATAGGGTGTAAATGCCCCACCCCGGAACAACACCAAAATTGCATTTTCCAGAAAATAAGCTGCAAATACCATATTTACAGGTAATCTGTAATAATCTGATCAAATGCCCTGCGGGAATGGGCACGTTTGGAATTAACTGAGCCGTTAGAGGCAGCTGTTCAGTGACTAATAATTAACAATTAATGAATGAGGCTAAGTATCTTATGAAGTTATGGAGATCTAGGAGGGTGTTATCCGTCAAGGCTGGTTATGGTGAATTATGCGTGTGCTTTTAGCCAATCAGAATTGGGGAAATATTCTGAATGAATAATAATGTGCTGTTATTGTTACCAATCCCTCCTCTGAAGTATAACATATTCTTTATTTTTCAAAAAGGAAAGCGCTGGACACTCCAATACATCCTTCAACAGCTCGTCTCGAAATCACATTTTTGGCCCACCACACACAATGGATGTCGCTGTGACCGAGAAACTCTATTATGGATAGAACATGGTGGATTCACCAAGGTGTGGTCTGAAAAAAGCTGGCCTGAATGGAAGCTCTTTGCCGAGAGAGCTTCATATGATTGCTTTACAAGATTTAAATTGTTTCTTATAAATTCTATGCTCATTGGTTATTCAGAGAAAGGACAATGTACTGAAGAGAGAAAAAAAGAACTGTAACTTAAGAGAATAAAGCTGTTTTCAGACAGAAACTATAAACGAGTTCCAAAAGGCACCTGAACAAGGCCTTAGCCATACACGGGCCTGACGGATATGCCATGCTGGTTAGCCCAGGGCAAAACAGCTTTCCAGGGTGGCCATGGCTGGTATAGTTGTGCGTGTGCGGAAGGTATTGGCCATAAGGCGGGGAAAACGTGTGGTTGTGTTGTGTGACCATTACATTTAGTTGGTTTATGTAACTACTGTGGCCACTAGGAAAAGGGGCAGAAAACTAATCAACCAATTAAATCCAGCACTCTCAGGCCACTTAAGGCATGACTATCTAATTAAATATGCATATTGTGATAAAATATGCTATTTAGAACGATTATCTTCTATCAATGATCCTGAAAATTGAACTACAAATGTAGCTTAATGGCCATAGCAATATGAGTGCATTTTAGAAGCTCAAATTTTCGTCACGTGACTGATAATTGAGAACAAATAACGGTCAAAATATTTACTCTAAAATGGGGAAAGGATAATGAAAGAGCAACAAGTTCTTTTAGGTACATTTTAGAGGCTATTAAAAAGGTTCTTATAAAATTAGCTTGTATGTGTGTTTACGTTATATAGGAATCGGTAAATAAAGGGAAAAGGGTCACATGACTTATTAATTAGTTAAATAGCTAATAGGATAAATAACATTTCCAATCATACAAGGCGAATTTACAATTTAAACTGTTTATGTAACATTTTGGTAGTGAAAATTCCTAAGATTAAGGTTTGCAACCCTTCCCCGTTTAGGAAAACGTGTTTTGTGACGTCGTTGACGAAGCGATGTGACGTGTTATTTGAAATCACGTTTCACGTGTTTTTTTCGTTGAGACACATTTGTAGTTCACTTTTCAGGAGCACTGAGGGAAGCAAACCATTCTAAATAGCATTTACTAAAATATGCATATTTAATTAGGTAGTCATGCCTTAAGGGGCCTGAGCTGAAGTAAGTACAGTAGAATTCTGTTTATTTTCTTCCATTTCTTTTGAGTTCTTCGAGTTCTTTCTCAGTCAAACTCTGTAATTTCATACCTCTGTGTAGCTCAGTGGTTAGAGCATCCGATCGGTGTACGGAAGGTCATAGCGGGGCTCTCGCCCGCGAAGCGGAGCACCATGGGTGAGAAAATGAAGTAATCTACCCACCCGAGAAAATTTGGTAATCACGTGACCGTACGCCCGGCCGCCCGACCGTCCGTCTGCACCACAGGCATACCAATGTAAAATAGCTCAATCAACAAGTATGGCAACCCAAACGCAACTCGAGGTTATTTTGGCGGGAATCGCATAGCCGCCGGCGTCTTGTAACGCAGAGACAAACTAAAGAGTCAATAAAGACGAAAACGGAAAGCGTAAATTGTTTCTGTATCCGTGTTGTCTAAAGTATTAAGCCTAGATTAATTGTCATGTCCACAAATTTGAAATATATAGAGAGAAGAAGAAAGACAGAAAACGAAAAAGTAGGCGGCAGGCCAGCGAAACTCAACGAGAAAAAGGACGACAGAGATCTAGAGCGAGAGATAAAAACAACGGAGACATTTTTTTTTCGAAGAACAACATAAAAATTTTGTAGCGCCCGTGACAAAATGAGAAATTCTAGCGGCCACCATGAGCGGCAGTGAAAAAAAGTGAACGATAACACCTACGACATTTCCTCCATAAAACGTGCAACTAAGGCCCTGTTTACAAGGAGGGAGGCTAACCCTGGTGCTAGGGTCACCCTATCAAGCGGGATACCCTAGCACTCGCATATTTCTTCTTTTTTCACAAGACGTGTTCACAAAGACCGTTACAAAGAATATCACGCATGATGAAACACGTCAGCAAAGCTTGTAAAGTTAAGCGGGGTGATGGGTAACCCTACCTGTGAAATTTGCTTGTAAACCAGAGCTAACTTTGACCTGCCTGCTAGGGTAACCCTCTTTCCTTGTAAACAGGCCCTAAGAAGTTTCTGGAAGTTTCACGTTGTAGTCGTGCAAAACAACGGCAAAGAAATGTACAAAAAAAAAGTTTGCTGCACGTGCAAAGTTGCTTTTCTGCTAATTTGACCTATTGTTTGTTTTCACCGTTTTCCGGCCTTGCCTTCACCGCTTAGCATTACACGATTTCAGTTATATTTTGTTTGAACAAACTATAAATATTATCGAGAGCTTCGCTTTTAGCCCTGGCTAAATCTATATATTAGGTTGAATTCCTGTCGTGGACTCAGATTTTTTCTTTGTCCCATAATCGTGACGTGTTGATCACATCATTTCTCATTTCTTCACCAAGCTTAAAATTTACCATTTCTGTTTATTTATTCATACCCGTTCTTTCAAACCTCCTGAAAGTTTTAAACGGATCTCCTTTTCCTCGGACGATGAAATCGCAGGAAAACTCGTACGCAGTTTTACTTCTATTAGTAGAGACAGAGGCACGAGATTTTTTAACCCATGACAAGCGTTTGGATTTGTTTGTTTGTTTTATTTAAAAGGTGGCGCGGCTTTTTTTTAGCCAATCTCGAGCAAAGCAAAGCAAATCCAGATCTTCGATCCCTGTTTGGAAACCTCTTTATAACCTCTCTGCGCCCTACGAAATTCTGGAAGATCACTGGATAATTAGATGGCCTGTAACGCATTTAAACCGCGTTTACTGCAACGGGCAAATGGCCATGTCCAAAGATCGAATCCGAAACTTTTCAGTTTAATCTGCTCTCCAGAGTGGAATTTTTTTTATCCTCTATGTATCCGGATTTTGTTTGCAATGCAGGGCACTCTCAATAGCGCAATTCAGAGGCCAAAAGTGTGCTAGCTTACTCCAAGACGGAACTAAACTGTTTGTTAATGTATTGGTCAAATCGAAGCTTCAACATGCCCCCCCCCCCCCTCTGGGCAACCCCCCGGGCAACCCCCCGGGCATTTGACTTTTTTGAAAATTATCTTTCAAATTTCCCCCTACCCGCGCCAAAATGCCGTTCAAATGCCCCACACTAGGGTCCATTCAGGTGATCAAATGCCCCTACCCTGGGGACATTTCACAGGCACAAAAATGACAGAAGGACGGCGGAAACGCCTTCAGTTGTCGAACAAAATCTGTATAAATATAACAAAAACTGAGAAACACTGATAGCGTATTTACTACGTACAAAATTCTCGTGCAAAGCAGCAGAAATCGCTGCTACAAGGTCACTGAATGCTCAGCTTTTCTTCGCCACGCAACATACAAAGCGTTCAATAAAAAAAGATCCCACCTATTGAGATTACTACATCATGACCATTTCACTGACATACATCATCACGCACCTTATTAAGTAACTTCCTTGCAGTAGGTCAAAGTAGTTGACCTGAGCTTTTTATTTTATTTTATTTTATGTTGTTGTATTGAATCGCCGGTATAGGTATTGTATGTCATTGTAAACACAACGATAAAATACATTCATACATTCAAAGCCTGAATCCAATTAAAAAGTTTAAAATTTAAATACTTCAAATACGGCACAAAGCTTGTTTAAGCCCTTTCCTCGTAACCAATTGGCCACAAAGGCACAATCTTTTCCACGAAAATCCTCTAACACCGCGTCCCACATGATAGCTCGCCACGCCAAAGATTTTACATGACATCGAGGGTGCAGTTCAAATTCCCCACCCCTAAAGCATAGGGATCAAATTCCCCACCCCCTGGAAGACTCTGATAATCAAATTCCCTCCTCCCCGGGACGGCAAAGGTGTCAAATGCCCGGGATATGCCCGGGGGGGGGGGCATGTTGAAGCTTCGATTTGACCGATACATAAGTCCGTCTGCAAAACAGCCCCGGTACATTAAAGAGTGATAGCCTGGGACCCAAATTAAGCGCGCGCTGATTTATGGGATTGTTTTGGGGGAACAGGTCGAGCAGCCACCTTGAATTGACTGAATTATGACGAGACAGGAAGTTGTTGTGTTTTTTTGAGCACAAATAACTTCAGGAACTTCCCGGTCCACGCGTACTTACCTTTAATTATACGAGCTGCGTTTTCTTTCCGCTTGTTTTGGTACCACGGCAAAGAAGCCATCTCTGAGGCTGTTTCAAGGTCCATTTCGAGATAAAATTGCCCCAGGCACATCTTCTTCCTTCAGTTTCACATTTTCATGTTTTTTTTTTTCCTTTCAATTTCACCTTCCGTTTTGCTATTTTGAGCTTTTTTAATCTCGCTGAAAATCCACTTCGCTTTCCGCCATATTTGTTTACATTCGCGTCCCCGCAAATAATCCCATAAATGCGCGCGCGCCTAGTTTGGGTCCCAGGTTATCACTCTTTTCCCAAGTGAGCTTTTGTAATGTGAAGGCAATACAATACAATGCCAGGTATTGGACAACGCTCATGTCACTAACAATCACTTTCCGGCTAGTGACATGAGGTGTGCAGGCTGCACCAATGAATCACGGTATGTATGGTTTCCCGCGAATTTCATTAAAGCCATGAACTGATTGACCTAATATAGATCAATGATTCCTTAATGGCCCTCACTCGATATATTAAAATTCTAACATGAACTCAAGAAGGCTTTAGGGTCAAAATTACAAATTTTTCTAGACTCCTGACCAGACTTGAACAAAAAGAAAATTAAACAAACCAAATTTATAAAAATGACCAGAAAGCCTCTGAGTCTTGTTAGAATTCTAATATATCGAAAGTGGGCTATTGTTTGATGAAAATGTTTGATTGATCTTTGATATTTCAATCACAAAACTAGAGTAGACTACGAGCAGTCTCTCTTTTTTCTTGGTCCGTCGAGAAAAACGCCCGAGACACGTAAATTACCACGCGCGTGACTGAAGGCGCGTCGAGCTGCCGCCCTCTTTTCTCGCGTCTCGCGGCTTCGCCGCTCAACGCCCACGCGCGTGCACTCCCCTAGCTTACTAAATCTGAAGAAAAAGAGAGATTGCTCGCAGTCTAAAACTAGAGTAAAACTGGAAAGGAAAACATCAATCATCACTACGTTGGACGA